ATATATAATTTACCTTAGATGTCATTAAAAAAAAGCCCTGAGAACTCTTGCACAGAGCTTTCAAGATTACTCTTAAGAACATACTGCACCATTAGGCACCCTGCAGGTGTGTATACTTCAGAGAACCAGGATTCAGTTCATTTATGGGGGCCATGATTCCTGCTCATGATGACTTGATCTGAACTTCAGATGGCCTCACTGAAGAGGACTGCCACTTAGGGCTGCTGGTGATGACAGAATACACGCAAAGAAAACAATGGTTCAGAATGGGCATTTAAAATAAAAATTCTCATAGATTAAAGGTATAGTCTCTATGGCACAAATTCTCCCTAAATTCTCTTTAGAACTCCCTGAATTGTTTCAACCCTTTTCCCTGGCTGTCTCTCTGCTGCCTATGCCTTAAAGACTGGGCTTCCTAGGGTTCAGGTCTTAACCCTCATCTCTTCTCTCTGTATATGCTCTTGCTGTGTACTTTTCTTCCTCCCATGCTTAATTAAGATCTCTTTCTCCTCCCTTCTAAACCTAGATTTCCATAGAATATATGTTTCCACATGGAGTTATATGCAGGGTATAAGGTCTGTGTCTAGAGTTTTTTTCTTGTGGATGTCCAGTTGTTCCAGTACCATTTGTTGAAAAGACCATCTTTGGTCCATTGTATTGCTTTTGTTCCCTTGTCAAAGATCAGCTGACTCTATGTGGGTCTATTTCTGGGCTAATTGGTTCCACTGGCCCATTTGTCTATTCTTTTGCCAATAACACTGTCTCAATGACTACAGCTTTCTAGTAAGGCTTAAAGTCAGGCAGTGGTAGTCTTGCATGACTTTGCTCTTCTTCTTTAATAAGCGTTGGCTAGTGTGATGGTATTTTGCCTCTCCACACACACTTTAGAATCAGCTTGTCAATATCTACAAAATAATTTGCTTGGATTTTGACTGGGATTGCATTGAATCTATAGATTGAGTTGGGAAGAAATGACATTTTGGCAATACTGAGTCTTCCTATCCATGAACAGGGAGTATCTCTACATTTATTTAGTCCTTTGATTTCATTTGTCACTGTTTTCATAGATTCCCTCATATAAATTGAGTATACATTTTGTTAGACTTATACCTAAATGTTTAATCTTAGGGTGTTAGTGTAAATGGCACTGTGTTAATTTCCAATTCCACTTGTTCATTACTAGCATATAGCAAAATGATGTATTTCTGTTTAAAACCATATATCCTGCAAACTTGTAATAGTTTTAGTTTTTCTTGTCAATTCTTTTGGATTTTATACATAGATGATCATGTCATCTATGAAGAAAGACAGTTTTATTTCTTTCTTCCCAGTATGTATAACTTTTATTGTTCTTTTTTTTTGAATTACTGCATATGCTAGTACATCTAGTATCATGTTGAAAAGGAGAGGTGAAGGAGAACATCTCTGCCTACTTCCTAATCTTAGTGGGTAAGTATATTCAATTTTTAAGCATATGTCAAGGCCCTGGTCACTTCTCACTTCCTCCAGATTTTTTCTCAGGAGCCCATATTGATCTCTCTCCTCTCCAGATGTGAGAGAATTTAGCACTCACTCAATCTTGAACTATTTTCTGATGCTGATTTTGTCCCTCCAACTAGAGATGACAGTCCTCAGAGGCAACGGTTCTACCTCTTAATTGTGAAGCCTCACTGTGTTCCTTAAAAGCTGGGAAAACAGTAGGTAACCAAAAAACACATGTTACTAGATTGATTTATTTTATAATGACACATACATATATGATAGCAGATCATGTGGTAGAGGACACATTGGTACTCTTTCTGAAACCACTATTGACTTACTGAAGACAGCTGTTACTAGAATCAAAGTTGGAACACAGATGAAGTGGGAGTAATGTTTCAGAAATTATTGGGGCCTTTTTCTATTTCCTTGTTCATGATCTCCTCTCTAATCAGGCCAAGGTTAGTGTTTGTATGGTTTGGGGTGGGAAGAGATTGAAATGCTTCAGATGGAATGCTATAGAAAGCTGGTTTGATGGAGAGATGATTTTTCTCCACTGCTTTGGCATATCAAGCATCAAACCCAGATGAGTCAGATCATAGACTTCCCATGTGGTATAAAGAGAGACCTGTGGCCATAGTAGCTTGTCCATAATCCTTGCTGCCCTATTGTAAAAGGAATCTACAATTCTGAGAAGTGAAAATCCTATAGTCCAATCCTTTTTAGCCTGGGATTATTTGCAGAAGAAGACAAAGAGCAGTGATTTGATTATGGCAGGTCCCAATTTATTATATATCACTTCCATCACCCAAGCAGATGGTGGTGGCCTTCAGAAATATCTAAGTAGCATACACCACCAAACAAACAAGGGAGAGGAGAAGCCACATGTATCTGTGTTCAGAGGTAGTATTCAAAATATTTAATAACCAGAATCATCTAGATCAATTGGAATCTAGACATAAAGTTGAGCTGTGTCCTGGAGTTATCCTAGGGCTTTACTATCTTTAATGAGGCACGGGCATCCCAGTAAAGGGCTGTTATAATGGGGGATACTCCAATGACTTGAAACAGTGGCTATTAACTAACAAGCATGAAAATATTGTAATATTTTAATATGGGTATAGACATAGTAGTGAATACTGGCTGAACATCAACCTTGGCTCTGCTCAATGTGGCCCCCATGGAGAGATGGCACAACAGAGTGGATGGCAGAGAACCTGAAGCAACGCTTCTGGCTTCCATGGTCTTGGTCTACTGTGCAGGGGCCCAGAGCTCCTGCAGATCTCAGTGAGGGAATGAGGAAGTGGTTGACATGAGAAGCTTCAGGATGGCTTTTAAGACTTGAAGAAAAAGGCTGGATTTGTGAAATGCTGCAGAAGACACCTTCCTGAAAAGTCCAGTAGCTGTGTGACCTGTTAATCATCAGTAGTCACCAGTCTTGGTAGAAGAAGCCAGTTATGCCAAGGCAGGGACCAGAACGGAACAAAATGGGTCTAATATCCTTTACTTTGAATTCCCATAAGCCACATTTGTCCCTTATTCTCCCAGACTCTTTGAGAAAGAGGGGGGTAGGAAGTGGTAAGATGGAGTAGATGGTGGCCAAATCTGAAAGACTGAGGTTCTAAGGTATCAGCTGAAACTTATAATAATGTGGTTGAACTTTGACAGACAATGTTTAAATTATTTAAGCAGGCTAAATTTAATGGACTGAATTAAAAGTCTTTTTTCTTTTCTTTTCATCAATGGAGTTTTGTGAAGAAGTGCAGATCAGTTTTAAGAAGCAGAGAAATTAGGGGCACCTGCGTGCCTCAGTTGGTTAGGTCTCTGACTCTTGATCTTGGCTCAGGTCATGATCTCACGGTTCATGGGATTGAGCCCTGTGTCAGGCACTGCCCTGACAGTGCAGAGCCTGCTTGGGATTCTCTCTCTCAAAAATAAATAAGCATTAAAAAAAAAAAAAAGAAGCAGAGAAACTATAATTGATGGCGCATGCATG